AATGTAATGAGTCAACAAAAGATACCTAACACTTTGTACGAAATATTGCAATTTGGAAAAAAAATCAAAAATGAGGAAGTTGAATTTTCACATTTACCTCTTCATATTTCCAAAAATGGTCATGAAGAATTTTTTTAATTATTTTTCCAGGGTTACTCAAAGGATCCCCTACTACGTAGTGGAGAGCTTTTACGCTATTTTCCGGACACCCTGTATATAATGCATGGGCAGTAAAAAGTACGATACCTTCGAATATTTCCCTTATGGCTTGTCTCAATACAATAGCAAAATAGACAGCAGACAATGTCGGTGCAAAAATATAGCCCTGTCTGACGCTGCAAGCTACTGCAAATTCCCCAGAGGTTTCTCCATCTACTCGTACTTTGCAACAGTAGTTTCGATTACCCGATCCGAGTTTACCCGCCACCCTTCGCCCTTGACTTTGGCTCCGCCCCCTGACCTTGAATGTGCGTGGCCTTGAGTTGGCGTGTGACTTTGAGTGTGCATGGTTTTGAGTTGTTCAAAGTTGGTATGTGACCTTGAGTCGATGATGACCTTTGTCAATACATAAGTATGGATTGGGGTTCATTCACTCGTAATTCTAGTATGTTTGAGCTATATCGGAAATGATACAGTCCAAATTTTTGTTTCTCGGTTGGAAGGCTATTTGAGACATCTTAATAATACCTATTGTAAAGATATTAAGGCAATAAATCGTCTAACACCTGTTCAATAGTTGGATTTTAAAAATGCAATAACATGTGGTATTTGCGAGTGGTACTACCGAAAATAATATAAAAGTAAGAGACAACGGCAAAGAAAATATTTGGTGCTGCTCATTCCATTTGTAATTTTATTTTAAATTACCTAATTTTGTTCCCATTATATTTCACAGTTTAAGTGGGTATGACTGTCATCTGTTTATTAAATAGTTATATCGGAATGGCGATAAAATTATTTCTATAGTTATGTCGAACGGCATATTATTAATTAAAAGAAATTTATCAATTACTATACGGTGCTAAGATAGCAGTGTCTGAGAGCTATCTAGCACCTGCAAATACAATCCAAAGTTCTTAACTAATCAAGTAGATACGTATATACTGACAGCTTTTGAATGTACTCGATCACCGTCGGCGTAAAATGATGAGATTTAGACAAAGACTAGAGGCATCGCGTTCCGGATTAAATGTCTGTGAGCTAGTCGAAATTTCGCCTGACGGCGAATTAATTAATTCCGATTCCTTCCCGAATCTAATTAAACAGCTGCATATGTGACTCTACGTAGAAATGCAGTTCAGTGTGAAGGTAGTATGTGGTGTAAACGTAAAACTGGTTTTTGAAATTTCAAGCCACTTCTATTTTTGTCGCCCTTGATTTTTGTGAACTACTCTTCAATAAGGGAACGAAATTTAATGCACACTACGAAATCAAAAGGCAATTATTTAGAAAACAGTATTCAGTATTATGGGGCAATGTAAAAAATAACTAAAATAATAAACTGCCAAGAAGTTTTTTTTAAAGAGAGGTTTCGACAATGTTATTTTACTTGTTGCTGAGTCTCAGAACAGATAAACGAAGAAAGAGCAAATGTTGGATAACTGCAGAAAGCAGACCGAAAATGTAAGCTGTTGATAGTACAAAGAATTACTTATAGCAACTTGGAGTACATTCAAAATCATAAAACAGCTTTTGATGTTTGAGAAGCATTTCAAAATACTTTTAGGAGAAATTTGATTCGAGCGTTGTCGATTTAAATATAAATGCTTTTTCTCTGTTTTCGTTGGGGCAGGATCGAGAAAAGATAACATCAGCGGAAGTTTTTTTTTTTTAAATTGTCGACGTTTCGCAAATTTTATTGTTGTTGATGTTCAAAAAAAATAAATAAATAAAAAAACAGGGGGACAGAGATAAAATAAAATTAAAGCGGGCTTGCAACAAAAAAAGTAAATTGGTAGAAATAAAAATCAAGAAATACGATGCTTTATGAAAAGCCTTTATTAAATTTTCACAGATGTTACGACGTATATTTCGACGCATAGTGTCTTTATACCTCTAGTATCTACATAATGTCCATTAAAATTACTGTCGAAAATGTGATAAAGTGTAACGAATTTGCATCAAGTAACGGCTAGCTCGGTAAAATGTATCTGCTTAATGTTCCTGTATCGGACATTAACCCAATTGAATGAGAAAGGACGCAAAATTGTGTATCAAAATGAAAAAGCAGTTATTACCGAAGAAGTGTTTGTTGCAGAAAGGATTAAGAAGATGTATCAGGTAAAATTAATTTGCCCAAATATTTTGTAGTGGTAAGGATATCAAAATAATGAGAAGATGTGTAATTTGTTCATTGTAAAAAGCTAGGATAAAGAAAATTGTGAAATTTGCATCATAAGAGGTTACCACTTTGGTTTAATATCTTACAATAAGAAAGAAAGAAAACTATGTTGAAACACAGCAAAATTCAAATAGAACTTCCCGTAGAAAAATACATTTCAAAAGAGGTTTGCCGAATTATTCAAGGAGAATGGTATCCCATAAGAGTACCTATATTATCTGTTATAGCCATTAAAGTTAAACGCATCAATGGATAAGATTTTTTTTCTTGGAAGCAGTTATGACTAGAGTTTACATGGTTGACAAAAGTCACAAGAAAGCTCTGAGAGATGCAGTTATAGCAACATACATTTGGTTTGGAGAAAAGTCTAGACTAGGAAAGAGAATTTTTGGTTATGATGCATTTTCTTCATAGTGACAGAACCGAACAATTCAACAGTCAGGTGGAACAAAATTCCATGATGGGTTTTAAATTGATTCTCATCGTACCAACTATGGCCATAACTCGTTCCTGGCTAGACTAGCAAATAAAATAAAATAAAATCCATAGAGGTCAGATTTGATGGGACTTTGTTCAAAACAATCGAAATCACACAGTATGGGATAGAAGATTTCCAGCTTGCAAGTGCATAAGTAGAGATAGCATCTAATTCACCTGCAAGCTAATGTACGTGTAACGTAAATCACTCTGTATATAGCATAAAATATATGTGGTTCACTGTGAAAGGGAAATGTTTTGTTTAAACTAGGGAAAACGTTGTGTAAGCCTACACCTTTACCTACATAGTTTCTACTTAATATTCTGGAGACATCTAAGGCATCCGGTAATATAGTCTGCCGAAACAATATATTACAACAGTATGTACCTCGGTAGAATTCCACCCGAAATTTTATTTAATTTTTTTTTTTTCAAGGAGAACGGAATATGATTTTTTTGTCCGGAAATCTACAGAAAAAAAACGTATTATTACAGCCAATTTTTTGGTAGTATCTTAAAAAGTTATTTGATGGTATCTATAACGAAAGCTTTCAAAGTTTTATATTCCCTGCTTCGGCAATGATTAATCGCCTCTCACTGTAATGGAAACCATTTTATGAATATTTACGGTGAGGGAGGTATAGCATAATGGAAATGCACGTTCTTACTTACTATCGGATTACTTAAAATATATAATTATAACCTTTCGTATACAAGAAACGGAGTTCAGTTTATAATTTTTAAATTTGATAGAGAACATTAATCATCTTTGACTTGTTTGTCGAAAATTGTAAGATTGGTAATGTCACTGCTTGTTTGATTAATTTTAATCTGTTCGAAGACTTGACTTGACCCTGCGTCATAGGAACTTGATCTAACGCTATAATTATCTGTTTACCTCTGTACAGTCTAATGATCAAATTCCTGTGTATGCCTGGAATTTGGATCTTTATTTGAATAGATATAATTTATCCGGTCTTTCCCCAATTTATTATTTTTTTTGGTATTATACTGATTTATTTCATTCAAGCCATTGTTCTTATTTTTTCTCGTTCGGTCTCCTTTGAGGCTGGCGCCCCTAATGATATCCAATTAAATACCCACGTCACCGACATAATAGTTTCCTGAGGAGCTGAAAGACAACTCAATTGAATTGAATATAACTGAACAAGCAACGACACTAATCAATTTAAGTGAAGGAGATAATTAATCATTTCAATCTAATGTTTAAGCATCGAGCTAAATGATATCTATCAATTTATTAAAATGTGAATATTTCGAGTATAGGCGTACATTATACTGATTCGTTTGTCGAAGGCTATTCATTCAAAATTCATTGATATAGAATGTTCATAAATAATAGGGAATTTTCATAAGAAATAAATATGGCTTATTTTGTTTTTATGGTGCACATTTTTGTGTAAAATATTGAATATGAGCAGTTTTGTATTAAATTTTTGGATATTATAGTCATATGGCAATTATTAGTTTTAAATTGGAAAGTTTCGCGCGGAAAAGTTACGTTTAACATGGCCGCTTCCAGTGACGTCAACTGTTCGTAATTTGAGGTTAAGGGTAGTTTACACTGATCGTAAATCCACGGTCCACACTTTCGTGGTTCACTCTTGAATCGTGGAACGATTGGTCCACGATCAGCTCACGTCACGCCACGACTTATATTGAACCACCATAAACGGGTATATTGAAGGAAGATTGTCAGACTGCGCTTTTGTAAATCCTGTATCAACCATGATGAACTATTTGAATTACAAGATGTCACAATATGGCACTAAATACGGAAATACCTCATAAATAACCGCTTTCAAGTTTCAATGCAGTCGCAGGTTCAAGCTGAGCGATTCTTTCCGACAGTTTGCAAAGTGTCAAAGGCTCTTGTGAGAACAGACCTTAACGTTGTGTTTACAGACAGTTGACGTCACAAATGCCACCATCTTGAAGCTAATCGTTTTCGCGCCAACGAAAATAATTTGAAATTCAAAATAATTTTTTTATTTCAATGAGGACATAAAACAAAAAAAAAACATATACATTTTATATTTGAAAACATAAGCAATAAGAAAAAAAATACTTTGAAAAATATGATTGTTCCCTATTGTATCGCACATAGTTTATCGCATACTGATTTCAGGAAATATCAAAACCTACTAAATTAAATATTTACCTGGAAAACTAGGTGTTGTCAAGACTCCATGTAGAGCAGTATAAGTTCCACCACAAGTTGGTCTGGCAGCATTGATGAACCAGATGTTCAATAAAAATGATAATACTGAGGCAAAAGAATTTGGATTCCACATTGTTGTATTCAATTAATCCTTAGAAATTCTTCTTGCTGAATCTGAAACAATGTACACTAATTTTAATTTTTCTGATTCGCAAGACGATCGATACGGAATAATTTGAAACCATTTTTGACTATTTGTTATCTACTCAATGCCTACAATTTCACAAAACCAATTCGTTTTAAATCCCATCATTTATTTTGTGTGGGCTCAGATGCAAAAAATCCTCCAATTGGAAACTACCAATTAGGTTTTCTAGAAAAATAAATTTAATAAAATTGGGTAATAACAAAACAAAAACTGTTTAATCGTATCGATAAAATAGTTTCACTTTGAAATTCATTATTTGGTAATTTATTTATAGAGGGCAAAATAGGCCACCGATAAAAAACTTAGCCAATTCCTTCCATTTTAAGCACATTAAAATTTGTTTATGCTAAGTAGAATCTAGCATTAAGAATTCTAATTCTCTGCAATATCCTCTAAATAAAATTCCAGCTTCAAAATGATAATGGATCGTTATAAAGTACGGTTTTGTAGCAGATGTTAATAATTGATAGCGTTTGAAACGGAAATTGTTTGAATAATCGCTGGGCCTTCTAATAATAAATTCCGATTTAAACGTTAAATATTTAAAATAAAACTTGAATGATTGAGCAAATATTTTAAAATTTAAATTTCAAAAAGTTATATTATAATCGTTTAAAGCCAATGATTTATGCTCTTGTGTAGCAACAATCCTACAATTATTATCGAAAAAATTTAAATTTTAGACTTTTGTTATCCAACACCAGAATATTTGGACAAAAAATATTGAACAATAATATTATACATAGGTATTTATTGAGCGTTGTGAGTTGGGAAAATTAGCCGGACTGCCCAGCTTTCCTCCTACACCATCAATAACCAGATAATTGAACATGTTAGCTTCTACAATGATTGAAGACTAATCATTGCCAGTAATCTAACTTTTGGGAATATTGTGAACAGAGAGTTTGAGATGCTTGCCTTTGTGAAGCATAATTCAAAACATCCACTCAGCAGACCCTTCACACACTTCAAACTATTAGCTGGAACTTTTCGGTTTTGAGAAAAAAAGAAAAGAAAAACGTAAGCATCAAAGATGCCATCGGTATATGCCTTATGTAACGCCACTTGCTGGATTATGAGGTGTTTGGCTGTCCTTAACGATTTTTTACAAAAGAGTCATGTGCAAAAGTTGCTCCAAAATCACTGCCACAGAAATTCGAGCTGTCCTACTATCAAATAGAGTTATGTTTTTCTTCCGCGACTCCTGCAGCAGTGACATAAAACAGATGTCTATTTCAAAAAGGAAAATCGCCCAGAATAAAACAGACGTAGCAGAACTACAGGACACTTGCGTGGAAAAAAAAACTCGCAATGCGCAATTGGTTGCTGACGTTAAAAATCAATCCTAAGTGCTTGAAGAAGATATTGCCAGACAACTTATACCTTCTTGCAATAAATCAATGGAATCTAATATTATTGAGATGCAGGAGCACGGAAACAGGGCTAGAAATGTTCTTGTCTTTGGAGCAGCGGAGTCTGAGAGCCAACAAACGCAAAACATAGGAATCACAGGTGATTTTAGTTATTAATGATACTAGTTCGATATGAACACCATAATGAAACGCGTGTAATTTTAAACCACGAGGCGTCAGCCGAGTGGTTTATTTACACAAGTTTCATTAATGAAGTTCATATCGAACGTGTATCATTCAAAATTTGATTTACGATGGTCCAAATAGATTTAATTTGTCCTGGAATAGCAAAAACTTTTCAAATTAAAATTCAAAATTTAGCAGGTGCTCGTACTAGTCGGAAACCTGCTGTTGATTTTTAGAATTTTGACTTTGGCAGCTTCAATATTGGAGTCAATTTTTGTGCCATAAATTCAGTTTCATAGTGGAAAATAATGTTAATATTGGCGATTCTGAGTTCGAAAGTGTCCCTTCGAATATCGAGACTGCATCAATGGAAAGGTTCTTCTGATAACTATCTTTCTTTTTGATATTTTTCATTTGATAATTTGGGTGTTTTTATGAAATCTTAAACGCACTAGTGCTATTATGAAGGACCTAATGACATTCAAATGACAATGCTAAATGTGTCATAATGACACCGACGTAGATTAAAAATATAATGAATGCCACCGGCTCTAGGATAGATCCCAATGAGCTAAAAATTAATCGTGTTGGCAAGACCAAGCTTAACAAACGACGACCAATAAAGGTATTATTTCCATCAAAACAGGATGCATTAGAAGTTTTGAAAAACAAAAACAAGCTACCTCAAAGTGACGAAATTTACTTGAGAAACGATCGAACAGAAGCACAGCGCAGCCATGTAAGGAAGCTTGTGACAGAATTAAAAGAAAGAGAGAGCCAGGGTGAGAAGCACTTAAAAATAAAATACTACCTCGGTATTCCCAGAGTGGTGGAAGCGAAGACAGTTAATAAAGAGAGGGGACCAAAAAACTAGTGGAAGATGGGGCGCGGGGGGACGGAGGAATGATAGAAGTCACATTTTATTACACTAACGCCGGTGCGCTCATGACCAAGATTGATGAGCTACGCATTCTTGCCATAGGAGAAAAACCAACTATTATACTGGTGACTGAGACATGGTTGCGGTCTGAAATTAATGATCCCTTATTAGTATTAACAGTTACAAACTATTCAGAATAGACAGAACAAACAAAAAAGGCGGGGGAATATGTGTATACGTTGAGGAAAAAATAAGTACCATAGATATCGACAGTCACGTATTCAGGAAGTGCAGTGCATCAATGCCACCATCCATAGAGTCTATATGGCTGCATATCGTCATAGCGCAATAAATATTTTTCGCAACTTATAGTAACGCCAAGTTATATAATGGGTATATAATAGTAACAAAGGTATGTTAGAAGGTTTCCAAGTTTTATAATCTGCAACCTATGGTAACATAGTTTTATAAAGTATTTATAAGTTTACTATTACTTACAGGTATAATAAGGTGATGTTACTATTTCCATCACCATTTTATAAAATTTTTAGTACCCGTTACTAAAGTATTTATAAGCAATTTTTATAAAGATTACTGTAACCTCATTTATATAACTAGAATACCCCTAGTTATATAGCAGTGTTGTCAATCACTTTTATAAAAACTGGAAACTAGTAGTGTTGGCAGTATATGTTATAAAACTTTTGGTAACAATAATTTCTTTTATAAAACCTTTAGTAAAACCAAACTACCTAATTTGGCATATGAGAATAATCAGATGTCTGTGGTTGTTTATTATTGTTATAAGAAATCTGTGCATCATGCTTTAAAAAAAAATGAATTTCAGCACATTATTTCGCCGAAAAATTTCAAAAAACTTTGATAAAATCTAAAATTCAGTGCCGTCAGTATCTTCCGCGAGGACAATATAACAAGTTTCTGGACAAGAAAATAAATTACTTGAGGGCACTGATAAACATGATGATTATAGCAATAACATTATTTTGAGACCAAAATTGCCGATACCGGCGCTGATGGCATCTGGTTAAAAGTTATATAATGTTACTAATAATTATAACATATTACCTCAGGTGATATTATAGTTTCCAGAGTTTATATTGTTACTTGAGTGATCCGCCATATTTTTCAACCCAAAATCAAAATAATAAAAAAGGCGCGTTGCAAAAACACTAGGTTTAGCTAATTTTACAATAATTGTTTAATACTGGCATATGCAAAACGAAAATGATATTAATTTCTTCTTAAATCTCATTTTAATTAATATTTATATACCTATGTATATTTTATAAGAAAACTGATTTGAAATTAATAGGAAGTGAATATTTCAAGGGCCCCTGCGTTTTTTCGAAGTAGGTACCGACCGGTTCTACTTTTGCAGTAGAAAAAGTTTCCCAACTATATTTTGAGTCTACCAATGCTGTGAAGTTATAACAAAGTACCATCGTTTTCTAATAGGTGAATATTATTAATATTTGGACTCCATATTTGTTTTCATTTAGTAACAGACATCTTGAAATAAAATTGTGGGAATAGAATAGAAGGAGACCATTCAAAGTAATGTATTTGAGAGAGAAAAAATATGTATTTATAATGATGACAAAATTGACAAAAGTTATATAGTGGTTACCACAATATTCCCGTTACCAGTGGTTACATAAATTAAAGTTATATAACGTTACTAAACACAGGTTTTCGAAACCTTTATAAACGCTCAATTTAAGCTCTTTAAATGGTCTATAGGAGTAACAGAAATATTTCCGTAAATGGATATAAAACCTCAAGTTATATAAAGAAGGTGATATAACATTTACGATAAATATTATAGAAACAAAAATGTTTATTGGGAGAAACAGTCAAATTTGTAGTTGCCTGCATCTACCCGACCACCAGGTTATGTAACTGAGGCGGAAAATAAAACTCTAATAATCAATTTAAGTACTGATTTCAGTTCTCACTTGTTGCACTACATCTTTAGGGATTTTAACTCTCCGGAAATAAACTGGCCGACCCTGAGCTTGACATCTTACTCCTCCCAAGCCAGCGACTTTCTTAATGGATTCAAGGAAATAAATGCTAAACAATTAACCCTCCATAAGTTGTAGCATTTTTATCTTCCTCTAATTTAAATTCATATAAAATGCTACAATTTTGGAACAAATAGTAAAACAATCAATTTTAGTTTTAAGAATGTTTATTAATTATAATTAAATAAATTAATGAATAAACAATATGTTTATCTTGGCAACTGTAAATTCTGGTTGGGAAATCTCCGGCATCAACTTCGGTTTTCTTTAGGGTGTCTTCAAGAACCTAAAAAAAAGAAAAAAAAAAAAAAGAAAAGAAAAGTGAGACAAATCACCGATTACTTTTGTGATATGAAAACTTACCTGTATCTATCCCAAAACCAATCCAGATTCCGCTATTGTGGAGTTTCTCTTTGCTCACCCATTTTCAAATTTTTCTATTTTTCCATCAAAGTTAAATCCAACCCTGGTGTTTGGTCTATTTTAAATTACGGCTGGCCTTG